TTTGGCATCTGAGAGAGGTGAAAAAAGGAAGGGAGTATAAATATTTTCCACAAACACTCCTACATCAGGAATTTATGTGACTAAGGAATGATACATAACTGAATCTTTTTATATGAGTCTAAAAAGATGTGACTAATTTCTGTGTAAGTCTTTTGTGCTGCATTTCTGTTCATGAAAGAAAAACAGTGTCATCTCCAAGTTTTAATATTTGGAAAGCTTACCACAGGGAATATAAAAAATACATATTCTTCCACTTCTCTTATTCTTCCACAGTTAAATTCTGGCTTTACTTCCCACCTATTATGGGACTGTAAGCAAGTTACCTAGCCTCTCTGTCTTGGCTTCCCCACCTATAAAGTGGAGAGACTATTAGCACCTACGAATGAAGTTGTTATAATGATTAAATGAAATAATGCAAATTAAGTGCTGAGCACAGTGCCTAGAACATAGTTAAGTCTCCAATAAATGGAAGCCATGCAAACTATCACTGTCTTTAAGTGTACAGAGATATTTCACAGGAACAAAGCAGTGATTTACATAGTTCATCAACCCATAAAGGGAAAAAAAAAGCCAATGTGACAGAAGAGGCTAAACATCGATGTCCATCCAGATATGGCTCTAATTGGTAATGGATTCTCTAACTACAGATTTCAGATAACCAACTGAACAAATACAATTCCCAGTAAGTATACTTGTCTGCTTTACAGAGCAGTACTTTGTTGAACAGTGTTATGCAACAGAACTTTCTCTGATGATGGAAAAATTCCTTTTTCTGTGTTCTATACAGTAGCTTCTAGCCACACGTGGCTATTGAGTAGCTGGAAGGTGAGTAGTATAAGTGAGAAACTGGACTTTCATTTTACTTTATTTTAAATTTAAGTAACCACATGTGGCATGACTACTGTTTTGGACAGCTTACCTATAGATTGATATGAATAGACAGTATACTAAGTCATATATTTAAAGCAAACTTTTTTCATCACTCTACATTATTCTAAAAATAAATAAAAATTTAAGTGGTGAGTTCAGTTACCTTGCATTATCTTTAAATTACAGCATACTACAACACCCAGCAGAGATATATGTAAATGTTTAAATTAACTAACCCCAAATTGTGGCAAAGCTACCCTTTCTAGATCTGCAGCACCAGACTAATTGTGAAGTACTTAAAAAAGAGATAAATTGAATACACAGAATTTACTATTTACTTGTTGAGGTACAATGCTAATTACAGAAGCAAATTAATTACTTTGGCTCTATGTATGATAAAACAAATCAAGGGTTCCCTTTCTGGTAATGATTGAGGAGATCCTATTGGCTCAGTCTTGCTGCAGATAACAACTATGCACTATGGACAAAATACAGAAAATAACTGCTTGAAAATACTTGAGAACAGGCCAAAGCAGGCAGAATCTGGACATGGGGGAGAATCTACGCAAAGAAGACATCAGCATTGGGTGGATTTCCCATTTTTACAGCCTTTTATCTGAGGGCGGGATCCATTGTGGCTCAGTGTTGGATGTTTAGAACTCTGATAGATTCCAACGGTCTTTCTGGTGTAGAGAATGAGAGAACAGAGTTCAGGAAACCACAGCAGCTGGAAAGCAAGTGATAAATCCTGAAAATGAGAGAGTAAGACAGGGGGAGCTCCAAATCCTGTTCGTAAACTACTCAAATTTCTGGCTGAACCTTGCAGTATATAAACATAAGGCAGACTGCAAGTAGCCCAGTTAGGGTTAAACAGAAAGAACTAAATAGACACTTTAGCTTTTACCATTACAGGGGAAACAGGGCTGCAGTGTGAATCTAGCCAAGTTTATTGCCTGCTAAAACCCCCCCAAAAAAAAGGCACTCTTCTGAGCAGTATAAGAGAATCTCAGAGTCTCTAGAACATAGCATTTGTAAAGTCCAGGATGCAATCCAAAACTCCTGATTTATAAAGCAACAGAAAAACATGACCTCTGCTCAAGAAAAATGGCAATCAATGGGAAGAGACTTTGAGATGACCCAGAGTTTGGAGTCAGTAGACAAGTATTTTAAAGCAAATATTATAACTATGCTCAATAAAAAAATATGCTTATGATGAATGAACAAATGTAACAAATTTCATCCTAGAAATAGAAACTATAAAAATGCACAAAGTGAAAATTCTAGAAGTGAAAACTAAACATTTAAAATAAAAATTCAAGCAGATTAAAGAGAGACAAATTTTAATATTTAATATATTTAAATTACAAAGGTCAGTGAACTTCAATATAAAATAATGGAAATTCTCTAATCTGAAGAAAGGGGAAAATATTTTAACAGAGCCTTAAGGATCTGAGAGAGTAGCAAAGATTTCCTGTGTGTGTGTGTGTGTGTGTGTGTGTGTGTGTGTGTGTGTTTTAATTTCAGAAGGAAGTGGACAAAGATAATGGGGCAGAAAAAATCTTTGGAGAAATAATTACAAAATTTCCCGAATTTTGTAAAGATATAAATTTAAAGATCTCAGAAATTCAGCAAATATCAAGCAAGATATATACACAAAAAAACTAAAAAATTAAAAAAACTATATAGTAAAATAGATTTCATAGTACACATATTATATACCACATACATTCATATACAGCATATATGCATGCACATCATTTGGTGATAAATATATCATCACTGTGTAGGTATTGTCACATATGTTATATTGTACTAGGTCTGCCTTTCAAACCAAGCTGTGTATTTTCTAAGGTAAGGGATTTTATGTGTGTCTCTACTCTAATTCCTGGTATATGGTACAAGATAAACATGCATGAATTGATGAATAAATAAAGTGTTTTGACTTAACTTACAAAGAAAGATAAGTGATAAGTGATAGTATTTCTCCTGCTTCTGACTTATCTTCTCTCCTTTACCTGGTTAGGGATGCATACACTTCCCTCCTGGACTTAATATTTCTAGCTAGTACTAGTCATTCCCAAAATACAAATTATGCCCATAAAATGAAACAGGAATTCCCAATATTGAAAAGTTATCCTCAGAATGTATTTTAGGTCCTCAAAAACTTTAGGAGAAATTCATGTGTAGATATTTCTGTGGCTCAGGCAGGATTAATACTTGTGAATAATTGTCAACTTAGAATAAAAATAACCAACACTTAATGTATATTTAATAAGAATGGGCATTTTGCTATATATTACATACATTGTTTTATTTTAGCCTCTTGGTAACTCTCTAAGGTAAATAATATTATTATTCCACTTCACAACATCAAGAGAGTAAGTGTCTAAGGTCACTCACTCAGTAAGAGGATGAGAACTGGCAATCAGTGCCTGCTCTCCAAGTTAGGCCCCTTCACCACTAAGCTGCACTACCTACCTTTTTTGGAAGTCAGTTTTTCAAAAGATCACCTTCAGTCCAGGAGAAAGCTGGCACATCAAAACATGCCCTGAGACTCACAAAGTGGTAAATGAAAATATCTAAAAAGACTATATTATTAGGGATCTGTAAGAAAACAGGGAGACATACATTTGACATACTTTTAAAAAATGAATCATGCAAACATTGTCTTTATTGAAGGCAACATGTTTCAAGCTAGCTAAATTTTGTGCAACAAGATTCTTGGGACTTTAAATTGTATATAGATCGTAGTTATGTTGATCCCTTGTTTTAATTTATGAGTATATTTTATTTAAAATCATGATTGTTTTCATAATACAGCAATAACAAAACTGTCACTCTGAATAAACAGGAATGTATGTTTATGTTGTACAGTAACTTGTTCCAAGGAGTGACTGAAACTCTAAACCAGGCTTTACAAAAGACAGAGGTAAGAGGAAACCATGTTAGTGTCTTATCCTGCAGTGCAGATGAAGATATCAAAACGGGCAGTTGCCTGCCAGGTGTATTATAAACTGTAGTTGGAGAAGAATAAATAAGGACTTGAAATATCATGCCAATGCTTTGAAAGAGAGGATTTTTGTTTTCAATATATTTTAAGAATGTCAAAGCAAACAATTAAAATTGATCGTCAGTTTTTATAGGCTTCTTTTAATTTTCCTGAGTGTGGATTTGCCTTTCCAATATGCTTTCTCTCTCCGAGTATTTTGGATTAGAACATTTTCCTTCCAAATTTAAGTCAACAGTGAAATGTTAAACTGCAAAAGTAAAAAGACAATATGTGTAAAATATCACTCCCATAGTGCATTACCGGAAATATGAACGTCTAGCTAAATTATTGCTGGTACAACATGTTTGTTTTGTTGCATATGCATCAGGAAAAAGATCAACTAAAAAAGTAGCTTCTGGTGCAAGATGGTGGACTGAACACATTTGTTTATCCTCTTTCCTCCTTTAGATCTTATTAAAAGTAAAGCAATAAAGAAGGCATTAAACCAAAAGAACACAAAAACAGAGCGAACCAGAGATGGACGGTCAGCAAATAAGAGTTTTTGGTGAATTTTCTGGAGACAAAAAGTAAAATGAAATGGAATAACTAGTGAAGTGGGCCAGAAAAAAAAGTCACAGCCTAGAATACCTTGATTTTCAACTTTAAAATTAACCTCAATATACATCAGAAATATGTTAATTATGGGTGCAGAACAGAATGCAAATGCTTTTAAACCTGACTTGTGTAAGTGAAAGGTATAAATTATGCAATTTGGGAAATAGAAACAAAAAGAGAGTTTAATAAATCAAGGTTGGGGCACTAATATTCTTTTATGAAATGAAGCGTCTAGAGATACTGTCTGTCATTGGTGGGTAACACAAGTAACCAACACAAGTCATAAATAGTGCTATAACAAAACTGGAAGGTGGTAGTGATAGTGGTGGTGGTGGCAAGGGTGTAGAGGGACTAACCTAGCTAAATCTTCATCTATCAGGAAGTCAACAAATAATGTCTGCATGGAAAATTAGGAAATAGTGACATAGTATACATAGTATGCAGATACATGAAGTTAACGAGCAAAGAAGTTTAAGATGGAAATACTTAAGAGAGAGAAAAAAACTTGCCTCTAGAAAACAATTACGTGTAGGAAAAGATGGGACAAGGGGCTGATTCTTTTAATTATAAATTTCTCTATATGTTATTTTAAAACAAGGGCATGTATTATGTTTAAGAAAAAAAAACCCTATGAATATCTATGTGTTCAGTTTATCAATTTAAGCCTGATAGGCAAGGTAGGAAAACAAGGCAACTGCATCAAAAATTCAGAACCTTGAAATGCTGCATTGGAGAATAAGACGCTCCTGCTTAAGACTAAGTGTTATGACACTGTAATGTCTGTTTCTATTTGGGCCAATAAAGCCTGGCAGCTTGTCAACTGTTATCCTGTTAAAAGGTCTAGAGTGGAAGAATGAATTCATTGTGTTTTTTATAAAAGACTTGCCGACAAGACCAGAGAGAGGCTTCACTCGTAATTCCATGTCACAGTCTTTCCCTTCTTTGGGTACTATAGATAACGGCAGTGGGCTACCTCGTGGCCTCTAAAATCTTTTCCTTCGCTCCTGCAGGTACAAATAGCTACAGTATAGAAACAGAGTAATTCTGTGATTCTACGATTAGTACTATTCTTGGACATGTTTAAAACTGTAACAGTAAAAAACTTGATTTTTCAGAATGTGACAGATTTATCATATAGCATATAATAAGTTAAGAGATAATAGTTTTCATAGGTCCAAAAAGTTAGAAAAGTTTCAATAATGCATGAAGTTAATTGGTTAATTATTGCCAATTTGAATTAATCAAGAAAATACACACACACACACACACACACACACACACACACAGAGACAAAACAACTCTCTATGTTGTTCAGTTTTGTCCCCAAAAGAAATGATAATCCCTACGGCAACAGAAATGTCAACAGCCTGCCAGAATCCTGGGTAGTACTCTGGGCCTGACAGAGTTAATTTTATTCCCAATTTAGGTATTAATTATTATTGCAGAACAGAATATAAGTGTTATCAGGTAAAAAAATTAATTACATAATTTAGGAGCTACAGTTCTCCTAAATGTAGCCCTCTGATTCCCAGAGCACTGACCTGTGTGAATGGCTGCCGCTCACTTGTGTGTGGCACATACAAATGAAGCCCAGGTGACTGAGTTAACAGATTACTGTAACTATTGGCTACAGATTAATGTATGCACTAAGGCTGCTATATAAACACAGTCTAGCAATAGAATTATAGGCCTCCAACCATCCAATTCCTAATTCATCTTCCCATGGGAGTAATTTAAGATAATCCTCACTCTCCTCATGTTCCTCTGGTGAGCATCATCTCTGCAGAGATAATTGGTCCAGAAGCCAATTCTCTGGCCAAGCCAGAGTAGACGCCAACTCTTCAACTGACAAGAGACTCGAGATAGGCTCTGTCTTTTTCCAGATGAGCCTGGCTTGCTATACTCCTGTTGGACTTCTAATTGGCAGCTTCAGTTTTTACCAATGCTAAGCTATTAAAAACTAATAGCAAATTAATAGTAACTTATATTTGTCTGTTACTTTGAAGCTCATTTCATTTGGTGTTCATGTTAAATGCGACACAACTTCCACAGACACTTGCACACAAGCTTCAAAAAATTTACAGAGACTCTCATTATACATCTCACTCTTCAATTCTGCCTTCCTGCTTGTGTCACTAAAGTTGTCCATGCCTCTAGTTAAAATCAATCAATTCTTCCACTTAGACAGTAGACAGTCTACATCTCCTTGCTCAAGAGCAACCCTTCAGCAATTTTTGTCCCTCTTTCCTGCATCATTAACTTTCCCTCTCTATTCATTATCATACACATTGCAACTATTTCTCCCATTTAGAAAAAACAAAACCTTGTTTTTGATCCTTCTTCATTCTTTAACTGACACTCCATTTCTCTCCCCCTTTATACTTTCTCAAAAGAGTTGCCTAAACACACTATCTCCGATTCCTCTCCTCCATTTTCTCCAGTCAGGTTTTCATCAAGCCTCCAAAATGTAGAGAACACCAGTGACCTCCACCTTTCCAATGCAATGATCAATTCTCAGTTCTCATCTTACTGAAATGTCAGTAGCTTTTATTATGTTCCATCACTCGCTCCTTATACCCTTTTCTCACTTGAATTTCCGTGCACCCCAGTGTCTGGATTTTCTTCCTGCTTCACTAGATGATCATTATCCATCCCCTTTGCTATTCTTTCATTCTCTTACAGACTTATCAACATTGGAGCACTCCAGGGCTCCATCCTTCTTCCTCTTCTCTCTAACTCTGTTCAATCTCTGGTGATTTCACAGTCTCCAGGATTTAAATACTGTCCCCATGGCTACTCACTCTCAAATTTGTATCACAAGCACAGAGCTCTCATCTGAGTGCCTGCTCATATATAAAAGTCCGTATTTTCCATCCCCTTGAAGTTAGGTGGTGCCATGTGACTAGCTTTAGTCAATGGGCTATGAGAGGAAATGATTGTGTCACTAGGCTAATATATCAGGAGACAACCATGACTCTCTAATTCTTCTCTTCCCCTGTTTCATGACCCTGGAAGCCACATGTTTCCAGTGCAGTTGCAATATGGCAGCAATTCCATTCGCTTTAGTCCCTGAGTGTATGTGTGAAGTGGAGTGCTCACAACCCATGTTTTATGTATACCATGATAGAAGTAACCCTTTGATGTGTTAAGCCAGTGACATTTTGAGACTTAGCATAATTTATACTATTCTAAGTTAGATGCCAAATAGCCATCTCAATCTTAACATAACCAAAACTAAATTTCTGATGTTCCTACTTAAAACTTACTCTACCTACAGTTTCCCTATGTGAACTGATGTCGGCTCCATCATTCCTGTCACTCAGATCAAATTATTTGAGCTACCCTGATCTTTTCACCTTCTCTCACATCCCACATCCAGTCTATCAGGAGATGCTGTTGATGCTGCCTTAAAAACATATCTACAATTCAAGCTCTTCACCCCACTTCTAGTTCTAGCGCACTATGTTGACACTGATCTATTGGCTAACATCATCTCTCTCAGATCACTGCAGTAGCTTCCTAATAGTCTCCTTTCTTCCACTCTTGCCCTATAATATACTCTCAAGACAGTAGTCAGAATAGTCCTTTTAAAATCCAATTGAAATCATATCATTCCTTATCAAACCCTCCCAAGACTTCTCCTCTCCCCCTAGAATCAAAGCAAAATCGTTACTATGGCCTACAAGACTTTACATAATCAGCCTGTACCCCAGACCTCCTTATCTCTTTGATTTCTACTACTTTTCCCCTCATTCCTTTTAGTCACACAATTTATTGTTGTTCTGCCAACTCACCAAACATGCCTTAGGGCCTTTGCCCTAGTGAATCTCTCAGTCTGGAATGTTCCCTCTCGATAGACTTCCTTATATCTTCTGAGTCTTTCTCAGATGCCAAATTCTCACTTGAGCCTACCCTGACAACTCTATTTTAAGCTGCAGTGAACCCACACCTCCCACCAGGAACTTTTTGCCTTTACCTCTTCTATTTTTTTCTATTGCTTTCCATCTTCTAATCTACTATATGATTTACTTATTGTGTTTATTATGTGTATCCTTATTCATCTGTGTCTCTTTTGTCTTGCAACATAAACACCTAGAACAATGTATGTCCTATAATAAAAGCTAAATACATATTTACTGGATTATTCAAGGTGGGTGAGGTAGACATGATTTTACTTTTCATAAGTAAAACTACAAACTCACAGACAATGTTGTGACTTGCTCAAAATCATGCCAGTTAATAAGTGTATCCCCCCTGAAAGAAAGGCATAAAAGCACAATTTCCCAAAATCACAGAGGTAAGTGTCAATGTTCTCTAAATTTACTAAACAATTTAAATCATGTAGTTTCATCCTGCTATTGAGTATGAACCTACCCAATTTGCTTGCTTATACTCTGGATTAATATGCCAGAATGGCAGGTGCTAGGGAGTCTATTTACTGACTTTAACAATTAAATTGATCAAAGATCATTTTAATATAGATAAAAAATTGTTTCAAGACAAATCTAGTATAATAAATGCCTTAAATAAATTTGCATATTTATTTCTGGTACCATCATACAAATTGCTTGTTTTGGGGAAAGCTACTATTGGCTCATGATCTAACTTTCTATTCATCAAAGTTTCCACAAGGGATGGAAATAATAAACAAGTTCATACTAGTCATTTGTGACCTATGCTCATAAACCACATGTGAAGAGCATGCATCTGTTAAGATTTTGCTTTCATGATGCCTTTCTTATATCCAAGATTAAAGTAAAAAGAAAAAGAATATTTTAAATATGTTGGCCATATGCAAAATGTATTTCAAGTTGCTTATTAAAGTTTTTCTTCACCCATATGGAAAAATCTTAATTAACTTCATACAGTTTTTGTTAGGCAAAATAAAAAATAAGGAAAAAGAAAATATTTTCTCTCACCAAAATTAAGCCAATAATAGCAAACAATAAAAAACAATAACATACCAAAATCAAATACCTGAAGTCTAAGAGGATAGAAAAACCAAAAGCTGTTTTGCCTTTTTCAACACATGAGCATCAACCCATAAAAGTTCAGTAAAAATTACATAAATATAAACAAGTACCAAAGTCTAACTAATACACATTTTAGAGGCTGTTTTTTTATATTTTTGCATCTGCATTTCTAATAATGACATATATTTGATCCATGAGAGATCCTGGATTTGGGGGAAAGGAAGGTACAAAATAACCTTTTAGAGGTTCCAAAGTTGGCTTCCTATAATGTTTATGCTCTATACTAGCCCAACATCTGTACTCTTAAACTTTTAGTCTTGGCATGAACTTGATTCATATTTATTAAGTCAAATCTTTGACATTTTGCATGAGATATTATTAAGCCCTTGCCTCAAAAATGTCAGCATTTTGTGGAAACAGATAAAGGAAAAAAATTAAATGCAGAGCAAGGCAGTGTGAACTTAAAGGGGCTTTCAGGGCACAAAAGATTATTTCTGATTTCAGAATTAGGATAAGGAATTAGGGATGAACAGCCATTTGAACTAAAACAACTGTTTAATTTCAAT